TTTTTTAATTTAAAAATGAAAGGAAAAAAAAGGAAGCACTAGGTCCAACATGGGGAATGAACTCACAACTCCCAAGATCAAGAGTCGCATGCTCTGGAGCACCTGGGTGTCTGTCTGTCTGTCTCTGTCTCTCTCTCCCCAGCCCCCCCAAAATCACTTACTTTTAATTCTGCCAATTTATCAACATAAACTTGCTTTGGCTGGTCTTCTCCATCCTCATACAACCAGTTTTCAGTATCTTCTAATTTCAGGGTAAAACTGTTACGATCCTAAAGATGAATAAAAAATAATTAGTGATGACAAAAATTAGTCAACTGGCCAGTGCAGTCAGAAACACAGACTACAGCATCTGAATTCCCTCTAAAATATGGGGGGAGTAGGGAGACACAGACAAGACTGGCAGTGTTATTTGGCTTGTTACCTGCAGACAGTTTTATAATTCTCTCTGGTACGTAAGGGATAGGTTTAAAAATTTGGACACATTTGGATGTTTGAAATTTTCAGAAATACAAAAAGCATTTGAAAATATGTAAGCTATAAAAAAATAAAATCTTAAAAAAACTTTTGTAACTATGTGTAGTGACAGATGTTTAACTAGACTTACGGTCATCATTTCAGGTTTGCACATGTCACTATGTTGTATTCCTGAAACTAACATAATGTTTATGTATCAATTACGCCTCAATTTTTTAAAAGTGAAATAAAATAACAGTAAGCCTCAAAGAAAAGTGAGCTGATTTTTTTTAAATACAAGGTAAATAATAGCATGCAAATGTATCAAAAAGTGATGCAACAGGGGCGCCTGGGTGGCGCAGTCGGTTAAGCGTCCGACTTCAGCCAGGTCACGATCTCGCGGTCCGTGAGTTCGAGCCCCGCGTCAGGCTCTGGGCTGATGGCTCAGAGCCTGGAGCCTGTTTCCGATTCTGTGTCTCCCTCTCTCTCTGCCCCTCCCCCGTTCATGCTCTGTCTCTCTCTGTCGCAAAAATAAATAAACGTTGAAAAAAAAAATTTACAAAAAAAAAAAAAAGTGATGCAACAAAAACAAACAAAAAAAAAAAAGATGAAGACTAGCCTTTGGGAATCATTGCACTAAAAAAAAAAACAACACTTTTCCCCCAGAAAAGCACATTTTAATCATTTGAACATATACCTACAGATGCCAGCTCCCTTTCTACTTAATACAGCTGAGGCCACTCCCAGAAAACATGGAATAGGCAGGCACATACTTACAGCTTCACTCACAAACTTCTCATACTCGCCGCTAAGCTTGTCCCTCATCTCGTACACGTACTCTTCCACAGCATTCTTGGCATCATTCCTCTCTTTCTCCAGTTTATCCTGCATGATCATCTTACCCTGAGAACAGTACACATTAGATATTCAGACAGCTGAGACGAGGTCCTCTTAAATGTTAACTAATGTCGTCCTACAAGGAGAGAATCCTTCTTCCCCAAATCCTCTTAGCTCTGCAAATCATCCATGAATGAGAAGTGGAAATATTAGTCCTCAATAAATTATGAAGATCAACTCTGAGTTTTGTAGGTGTGCTTAGAAAAAAAATAGGGGGGGCGCCTGGGTGGCGTAGTCGGTTAAGCATCCGACTTCAGCCAGGTCACGATCTCACGGTCCGTGAGTTCGAGCCCCGCGTCAGGCTCTGGGCTGATGGCTCAGAGCCTGGAGCCTGTTTCCGATTCTGTGTCTCCCTCTCTCTCTGCCCCTCCCCCGTTCATGCTCTGTCTCTCTCTGTCCCAAAAATAAAATAAAAATGTTGAGAAAAAAAAAAAAAAAATTTAAAAAGAAAAAAAATAGGGGTGCCTGGGTGGCTCAGTCAGTTAAGCATCTGACTTCAGCTCAGGTCATGATCTCCCAGCTCCGGAGTTCGAGCCCTGTGTCGGGCTCTGTGCTGACAGCTCAGAGTCTAGAACCTGCTTCATTCAGACTGTGTCTCCTTCTCCCTCTCTGCCCTAGGTAACCTGCTCACATTCTTATCTCTCAAAACTGAGTAAAAGTTAAAAAAAAATTTTTTATAATAAAAAATAAATAGAAATTATCAATATTTAGAAACTCAAAAGCAAAAATAAGGAAGAGAATTTAAGACAAGTGAACTTTAAGAAACTATCAGCTCAATGTCACAAGGTGGTATACTCTGCAGTATTACTAAATACCAAAGAAAAACATCAAATCATTCACACAGTGTAAATGCTATAATTCTATAAAACAAATCTAAGATCCAAGGGATACATGATATTAAAAAAAAAAAAAAAAAAAAAAAAAAAAAAAAAAAAAAAAAAAAAACTAACAGCAGACAATTCATTCAATACTTTGTGCTGCAGGGTCCCAAACCTTGCATCACTCACCATAACAAGAGTTCAGTATTGACTAGCAGTAGGGAAAGGAACTAATGAACAAAATAGCACTACCACTGATGTTTTGATTTCTACTACCATCAACTTCCGTGACCCACCTCATCAAAACATGCCAAGCTCCCAAGTGAACAAACACACTCACACACCTGGACATGAACAATACCACCATTAAATCAAAGACATAATGTTAAAGATCTCGTAACACAGCTTCTAGCAATATAGACATATACCGTAAAAGAATTTTGACATTACATGGGATTTGCCCTTGCATTACCCAAAAACCTAAAATTGCTGCCTCAAGCCCCATAAAGGTCACTAGACAAAGAGGTTGAGCTCTATGGCCATATTCATCAGTTAGCTGAATGTTCTAAGAGGCTGGAAATAACCACCTCATTTTCGATGTACAAGTTGAGCATCTCTCTGTCTATCTGCCATAACAGCTGATTCTCAATGGGCAGGTCCACAGTACTGGTCTTCACTTTTGCCTTCTTGGCTTGGGGTGGTTGGTCCATCTTTTTGTCTTTTGATCCAGCTTGAGAGGTCTAAAATAACAAGAAATCACTATTAACAAACATATATGGGCCACCTTAAACTTCCATTTCAAGAGTTCTTTTTGCTTTTTTATCACTTTGTATTCTAATCTCAATAACCTGGGGCTACTTCTTATAGTATCTGCAAAGTTAAAAATATAAATACTGTGAGTAGTCAAATCCACAGCCACAGAAGGAATGGTGGGTGCCAGGGGCTGGGGGTAAGGGACATGGGGGAACGGGGAGTTGCTGTTTAATATGCAGAGTTTCCAAACGGCAAGATGAAAACGTTTAGAAGACTGGCTACATCACAATGTAAATATACCGAATACTGCCGCACTGCATAAACACACACAAAACCTCCCATAATCCCACAATCAACACATAATCACAATTTTTTTTAATGTTTTAACGTTTTCTTTATTTTTGAGAGACAGAGACAGAGAGACAGAGCACAAGCGGGGGGGG